ATTATACTCTGACATCTAAATCAGTCCAAACTCCAGATCTCTACACTAGGTAAAGTGTTGGTGTATTTAGAGGGGTTAGGAGACATTCTCTGTTACTAAGGTTGTTGATCTACTCTGGATTGTTCGTGGAAACTGTCGGATTTCTTAGCTCGAGCGAAACGAACTAATGATCTTTTACCTTTGCTTTGGGTCTTAAGTCGTAAGTAGCGAACTGAGCAGATTGGTATCATGAGGTTGATTTGACCTCAACACTTGGTTAATGTAGCATGATGTGATTCTTCCTTCCAATGAAGGGTGTTTATGAAAAGTCAAGTGAATTTGATTTTCTTTTCTTTTTCAAAATTTTTACTTTTAGAAGTTGCCCACAAATGGTTCTTAAAACAAAACAATCGTCTAATATATATAAATTAATGGAGATTATCATTTAATATTGAATAATTGAGGTAAATTGTTTGGTTTTACCTTATACATTGAGTTGATTAAGTTAAAATAACTAACCTTCAAATTATAAAAATGAACAGTACAGTTTATTAAATAAATTGATATTTCTTAGAAATTTGTAGTGAGGTGGAGGTGTGGGTGTGGGTGTAATTTATGATTGGACAAAGCTATATTTTTTGGTGTTGGTTATTGCGGCTAGGTTTACCATTTAGTTTTGCTCCATTTGGGTGTTTCGATGCAAGCTTTAAAATTCTATATTTGATTTGTTGACTAAGGTTTTTTTTTTCTTTGGAAAACATAAAAAAAAAAATTCTTAAATAATTGTTAGCTAAGATTTTTAGAGAGAGAAATCAAACTGCAAGAATTAAAAGTTTCCATACTCTTATTTAATGTTTGAAAATACTCTCTTAAATTATGGTTAGCTAGGAATGTTGATACTTTGAAAATTATTTGAGGGTACTTTATCATAAAAGAATTGATTTTTTGAATAATTTGATGTCTAATAAGAGAATATATAGTTGACATGATGTTAAATTATGGCTGGTCAAAGATTCGAAGATGTGTACATTCTTCAAGAGTATGTAAAGTTAAGTCTCGTTCAAAAACAAATATCACACGGGTCAAAAGAGAATTAATTTACCTAATGAGTTTTCCTATATGGGGTAAAAAGTAAAAATTTCCCACTTAATTCCCATGAAAAGACATGGGCCAAAAATGTATGAAGAGCTTAATTAGGTACAGCCATGAGATTGGAAATGTTTTTAACCACAAAGCATTATTATTAGTTTACACGGTTGTTAATTCGATGAAAGAGTTTTCCCCAGCGTCAAACATTTTCACGTGGAAAAGATTAAAAGAAAAAAAAAAGGGAAAATCGATGGACATTATTGGGGATGAGAAATGAAAATTTTCACGAAGATATTTAATGGAATGTGACAGGTTTGGATGTGAGTTGCATTAAGTGCAGCAGAGGAGCAGTATGGAGTCCAATATTATATATATATATATATATTACAAAGAGGTGGTTGTTAAATTTCCCAAAACTAGTATAATTCAACTGGAAAGCACCCATTTTTAACTACAAAGTCAGGAATTAGAGTGAAAAAAATTACCAATTCCGTAACCATGGTTAGAAATATCGAAACTTCCAATTAATATATTCATGAAACCCACACTACACTACACTAGACTACACACTAGGCAAGTTGAGCTGACCCACAAAACTGATCGTGGTAGAAAAGAAAAGATTAAAACTGCCCCTTCAAACCATAAAATAAAGTGATTTAGGGGACAAGAAAATGTGGTGCTTTTTAATTATAATTGTAAAATCAGGACTAGGAGTAACTCCATAATCCATCATCCCCATGAGAGTTAGTGGGAGAGTGATCGGAGGAGGGCGAGTTGATCCGCGGCGGACTTACCAGCATTCCCTCCGCCATATCCACCAACAAATTGGGCATGTTGAGTAGCGCTTCCTCGTCGACAAAGTCTCCGGTGGGCGGCGCATCGGAGGGCCCGG